AAGGCGTGCAGGTGCAGTGCCACGCAAGCCGATGACAAACGGCGTCAGGAAGCCAGTTAGCAGAAGGGCTGATTTGCACCCATTGTGGGGTTGGAGGGCTTATTTGCCACTTTTTTAGTTCAGGGCTTATCACTTGCTGTCGAAAAAGTTGAGGGGCTTAAGATGGGTTTTTGCCTTTTACCAGAAAAAAACAGCTGTCTCTCACCAAACTGTTTCACCGAGTTCAGAAAAATCATAAAAAGGCAGCACGTGCGTTCCTCACCTCAACGTCTAGCGACAACAATTTTTATAAAAATATCATTTAGGTCAGATGTTTGAGTTTTTGGATTCATTTTTTTTCATTTTTTCTTTAAGTATTGTGGGAATCCTCTGTTGAAATTATAGGAATGATTGTACTATTATTAAAAAAAAAAAGAAAAAAAGAAAAAAAAAAAAGTCAGCACGTTTCCTAAAGCGCACATCAGTATTTCTCTTCGACTTCGATGGTCCTTACTCAACACCAGTACACCAGGCATCCAGTTTGCTGAAAGCCATCCATGGAGAAAATCTCTCAATCGATAGAGAAGTTGTTGAACTTCGAAAGTCCTCGTTCAAGTTTCTCCCACAAATCTCTCGAATCAAGTAGTCGTCGTCGGGGAAGAATTTTATTTTATTTTTTTGTAGAAATTAAGAATTAATCATCCATTTTCTTAATGGAAAAGCCAATACAAAAGAATGAATCCATTTTTTTTTATATTAAAAATTGCAGACAAAATTAGCGCTTAAAGTGGATATTGAGGGAGACAAACGCAAACAAAAAGTCATGGAGACAGTCTCTAGACATCCAGGTACTTGCATTATTTCGACCCTCGTTTTAATTGTACAAATCTCAAGTTTCGAAGGTTGAGAAGCTAAAATTCGATTCCATTTCTTTAATCTGTGTGTGTGGAGTCGATTTCCGTGGACATGCAAGGACAAAAAAATGACGGTAATTGGAGAGTTTGAACCGTTGCAATTAGTAAGGATATTGAGGAAGGTGTGTTGTCCGGATATAGTGTCGCTTGAAATTGCAGGGATGGAGAAGAAAGAAATGCCTACAAAGGAGGCGGAACCAAAGAAAACGGAAGAAAAGAAGATAGTGTCCGAAAGTGTTGATTCGTTTTCTAGTTGAGTCGTTTTCTAGTTGAGTGATAAATCACTAAGGCTGCTTACGGCATTGCTGTGTCGTATTATAGTTGTGTTTTTTCGTGCATTTTAGAATTGTTAATATAGATTCTTTCAAAAAAAAAAAAAAAATTGAACACAATTAAAATTTTATTTATTAAACATAACTCTACAACATTTACATAATTAACAAAATCGATGTTCTTTAAAAGTTTGAGCTTGCGTTATGTTAATAATAATTAATTGTAACTCAATTATATATCATTTAAAATTATAATTCTTTTCTAATATAGAATTGTGGCATCTCAAATTTAGTTATTACCCTTTATTTATTCTAATGACCCAGTGGTCATTTGACGTTGATACCATAGATTTTTTTTTCCCTTCTTTTTATGTTCCTTTTTCTTATTCAATTATACAAGGGTGGAACTGTGAAGGTGAAAATTGGAGCAGGGAGAAGGGCAGATCCTTCGCAGGATTTGAAACCCAAACCTTGAGGGGCACATCTTCCATGGGTAGTGGCAATGGCCCTGTCCCTTGGCTGTAGGTATTTCTTCTAATGTTGTGATGGAAATATAATAGATAATACTATTTTACCATTTAGATTATATTAAATTATAAAATATTTTTAAATATATTATTACAGTATAAAAGATTATAAATATATAAAAAAAATTCATAAAATAAAACAGATGTTAAAACTAAAAAAATATTTTAAGTCTATTTAGTTGGTAAAAAATTATTTTTAAAAATAATTCTCTATTTTTATGAGTTTGGGAGTTTTCTTGAAAATCAATCAAATGAAAATTATCATTAGTCAAAATAAAATGTTATTTTTTAATAGCTTTTTTTTTTTTTTTGAATACATGTAAATTTAAAGATTTAAATTTGTTAAATTAAGCGGTTTTCAACACTCAATTTTCAATCGAGAAGTTTAAAACTATGGTGGCTCCATTGGGTTTGATTAGGGTGGCTTTTAATTGAGTGATTCCATAAATTTTTCTAGCATGGTGGTAGTGGCAAGAGCCAACATCATTGCCTCATCGTCTGCTGTTTTAAAACAAAACTTAACTATTGTTTTTTATTTAAAAAATTATGGTAATATCACGATATTCAACTACTCTAAAATTAAATCAACCACATGTTGATGGTCTAGAGCTCCCGTGCCTCTGAGGAAGACGACCCATGAGGCTGTTGATCTTCCGAGTCCAAACATCTCCAATTTGAGGAGGCGAAGACGTGCGGACAATATCTTTGATGAAGTCCTCGAATATTTATTCCTTTTTACATATGTCCTATTAGTTTTCTTCATGTTCAATATAATCCTTATAATGAATTCCTTTTTAGAGAAAATATGAAGATTTCCAATATCAACTAAACAATAGAAAATGTTTTCTATAATTTTTTTTAAAGTCACTCAAACAAAAGAAAATAATTTATAAAAAAAAATCTTTAATAGAATTTTTTTTTAAAATATGTTTTATTTATATAGACCAAATGAATCCTTAATTTATAAATAAAATGGTCTATTGAATTTGAAATAAATGAAAAAAAAAATAGATTTTGTGAATTCACATCTTAAATTGGTCGGATGAAATGATCTCACCCTCCTCATTTTGTCATTGAGCTGCAAATTTTCCACTTTTTTTTTTTTTTTGCCAGTAAGAAATTTTCTCTAAAATTTAAAAATTTATCAGATAAAAAAAAAAATGTTGCTCTGCGAAACCGACCGGTAAAACCAAGAAGGAGCATTTTCTGGACACGTAAAAAATGAAGATAAAAAAAGAAAAAAACAGCTTTTCCCGGAACTTAAGTCAACGTGGACTGACATCTCCTCCGAGTCGCCTTCTCACTAGGAAATTTCCATTCTGGTGGCGATTTCTCTTCTCAGCTCACGATCCGATAGTAATCTCTTTCTCCGGTAACTTAACCTTTTCCGTTGTCAAACTCCGGGAGGAAATCTCATTTTCCTTCCAGCCATATCTTTATTGCTTCTTCTTCTCCTTCGACGGACAGTGTTTTCCTTCTCTGGAACACACCGCGTTTCATTTCCTCATATCAGAATAGCTCCGATTTCAGCTCGTGGTCGTGGGGGTTCTGATTCACAGAGTGCTAAAATAGCTGGAGACGATGGCCGAGGCTAGGCGCTATGTTCTTGGTAATCAATTAGGTGAAGAATGATGAACTTGAATTTTTCTTCATTCTCGTTAGGTTTCTTTTTACGATTTTTAACTTGGATGTATGGCGGATGTTTGGTTTCTTCAATTCTTCGGTTGGTTCTACAATTTTATTTACAGGAATTTAGTATGTGCTTTGAGTTTTTAGTTATGTGGAAGTTGGTATGCTGTTGTATGAGTGAGTTGGGATGTGTTAGTATATTAACTAATTTTCATTTAAGAGTAGTTAAATGAGTGAAATATTCTGTCGGTACTGTATCAAGTCCTTGGATTTGAAACCGGTTTCTGTGAATCCCTAACTTCCGAAAATATTTGTGGTAATACTTAGTAGTTATACTCCACGTTTGAAGGATTTGGGATTGTTTTGGCAACTTCCAGCGTGCAAGGAATGATTCCTGGATGCATGTACTGTGTGTTTGTCTGTCTATATATGCAATACTGTGGACTGTGGAATTAATGTGTGTTTGAGGACTTTATTATGGTTTCCTATACTGCTTGTTAATTTTTGATCATTTTCATGCTTATTAAGATATTCTTACCTGCTGTGATGCAGATATTCACCAGATACTCTTAGAAGCACAACAACGGTGGCTGCGCCCTTCTGAAGTCTCTGAAATTCTTCGAAATTATCAGCAATTTCATATTTCTGCAGAACCTCCAAATGCACCACGAAGTATGATTTGGCTAGGCTTATCCTTCCACCAACGATATGTCTTATGAATAACAAAACGTTAATGGTTGTGGGTCTTTTCATAAATGTTTTTTGTATTTTGAATATCGTCGTCTTCTTAAATAATATTCTGAATTTGACAATCATACATACAGAAATGTGCATGATTAAATTTTAAGTTATTCTTCCAATCGCAGCTTGGTGTTATATACATTTCACTTTTTCAGGTGGCTCTCTGTTCCTTTTTGATCGGAAAGTGCTGAGATACTTTAGGAAGGATGGACATAATTGGAGAAAGAAAAAAGATGGAAAGACCGTAAAGGAAGCTCATCAAAGGCTGAAGGTAAGGACCAAAGATGCTATATTTGGTTTTCTATTTTAAGGAAAACTGATGCACTAAAATCACCCTACCAAGTGTACTAGTCGCTCCAAGTAATATAATGATGAGAGAGTGTCTAACCCACGAGGATTGTGTCTAATTAAGTACCAAAATAATTAATTTAAATTTATTTGAACAATCGACAAGATGGAATTTTAATTAAAATAACAAAAAGAAACTAACAATTAAAATAAAACTAACCAAGATATGAAATACTAAGACATTGATTTCACCATAATCAATCAATATAAATTCTGGATTACCAAATTGTTGAGTGTTATTGCATGTGATGACGGATTTCCCTAAATCAATTAATTAGCTTTCTCAAGTCAAGTTAATCCTTCACTGATCTATTAAATTAATCATATCTCTATAATTTTAAACAAACTAATGAGCATTAGTTTCTATGAAAACCTCTAGCTTAAGAAGGGGGAGTTACTAACTCTCTTCTCTTCCTCTACTACCACATGTGAGCTAATTACCTCTCGGTCTCATAGTCTAGCACACGTTTTATATTATTATTGGTCTAATTTACACAATTCTTTCTCAAGTTAATGCATAAATCACTAAATCAATTGAAAGATGATCAGGCTTTCAATGTATTAAGTTCAATAATATAAACTCCTCATGCGAATAACTTTAATTGAAAGCATAAAATCACAAAATCTATATTAAATTGATTAGGCTACATCATAGCCTTAATAAAATAAATCAATTCATAATAAAAAAAATAAAATCTAAAATCACAATTATGAACAAGGAAGAATAAAACCCAATTTGAGAAAATTGCAATCCTTGATCTCTTATTGTTGAATCCTCTATCTTGACCTCCAAGAATGCCCAAAAGAGGGCTGCCACAAGCCTCCCCAAAAGCTCTTCAATTCTGAATTTGAATGGGTATTTATAGGATTTTAGAAACCCTAATTGAAATAGAAGTAGGACTTGAAACAGAAATAGGAAACTGAATTTTTGGATGCTGATCGCGTGGTGCTGACACTTCGGATTACGTGTTGACACAAAATAGGAAATAGAATCTGATTCTGGACGTTTAACGCATGGTGTCGACACCCCGATCATGTGTCGACACTACACCCGTGTCGGGTTTTTGGCCTCATTTTGCAATTTCTTCAATGGTAAAATAGCAGATTTGGTTCCTGACTTCCGAATTCTGCACAAGTTGATCCTCGAGTCTCTGATCTCTTCAATTTACTTCTAAAAAGTAGAATTTCTTCCAATTAAATCTTTTCCTACACAAAGAATGAAAACCATGTAAAATCAAATAAAATCCCATAAAACTCATCCAAATATCAATAATATCAAAGTAAAAATTCTCTATTAATATGTATATAAATTTAGCTTATCAAAAACACTACTTCAAAATTGATTGAAATAGATTTAAGTGATGCTGCTATGTGCTGGTACTTCATTATTTGGTTATCTGAATGAATTGTGATAGT